GACTGAGCCACCCAGGCGCCCCAAGATTTTATTTATTTATGAGAGAGAAAATGTGTCTGAGAGAGAGAGCATGAGCGGGGGATGTGGGGGCAGAGGGAGAAGCAGACTCCCCGCTGAGCAAGGATCCTGACCCGGGGCTCCATCCCCGGTTGTAATCCCTGAGATTACAACCTGAGCCAAAGCCAGACACTTAAGGGACTGAGCCACCCAGGCACCCCACTCTGGGTATTTCTTTCTTCACGTAGGCTCTCGGGATAGAAAACGATTAGTTAAACATTCATCTCTAATCCTCTGCCTTTAGAAATGACAGGAATCCCTATGCTGTTTATATAAATTTTATAGCCTTCTTGGCTGTATCATTAAACATTCAGGAGTATATGAAGACTGTCTGTGTTACCAAAGCCTGAAGACTAGGGAATGTAAATTCTAAAATTTCCCTTTCTGAGATTTGTCTTTCTTTTAGGGTTCCCTAAAACCTAGATCCAAAAATCAGTTTCAGGAAGTGCTATCAGAGCAAGAGCATCGCGGCAAGAGAATTAACTTCTAGAATAACTACAACTGTGGTTTTAGGCTGACTCTCAATGTGTCAGTGAGCTGTTTTCTTTCCCACGATGGTGGGTGGGTGGTCTAGAACTCAGAATTCATTCTACCATAGAAACTATTGTGATCAGGAGTAGTTAGGGGCAAGCCTGGCCTATAATCACCCACCTAATCTACGTGAGAGTTTAAAGATGGTATCTTTGAGATGACAATCTGTCAAAAACAATACAGTTTTAATGCTGGCAATCAAACAATCAGGAAAATGGTCCTGTTTTACTTTCCTCAAGTATTGGCACTAATAGGAAAGTAATTTTAATTAAAAGAAAATGAGGAAATCTCAATAGTCTTGAGATTCTGGGGGATTCTTTCAATGATTTCAGATTTGATAATATGAGTCTTCACTTCATCTAATTTCATATCAAATACGTGACTTCCCAGATGGACAAGGACCACTCGGACCCTTATTAGCCACAGCTGGGACCTCCTCTCCCTCACAAATGAATAGCAGTGGGAAAGAGAGAAAGGACTGTCCCAACACAAAGATCTTCCTACTCTCCATGTGAAGCACATATTTTAGTATGTAATCAGTATGCCCTACAGTCAAAATGTATGATGTCTGTGAGTTAATGGTGGACCTTCAAATATTAATCATACAAAACCCATGTGCTAAAACACGATGGATCATTTAAAATGCAAGTAAAACGGAAGAAAGGTGAATTATCAGTCTAAGGGGTTATCAACCAGGGAGTCGGTTGAGTCCTGAAAGGTGAAGAGAGTGACATCTAGTGTTCATATGATGTAAAGCAGCGTTTCCCTAAGTGCCAGATGGGGACCATGCATACTAGGGGGTGTTGTTTAAGGGCAGACCATGAATTAGCATAAAACCGTATGAGAAAATTATCTTTTTAGTCAGTTCCCCCTCAATCCTTCATGAGGATAGCCACAGTTTGGCACTAACGTGAGCTATGCAGCTTGGGTTTGAATCCCAGCCGTACCACTTACTAGCGTGACTTTGGGAAAATTACTTAAATTCTCTGTGCCTGTTTCCTTGTCAGTAAAATGGGGTAATGACCGAAACGATTTTGTAGAATTAAATGAGTTAATATATGGCCAGTGCTTGACACGTAATAAATGCTATTTAAATGTTTGCTCCATTAGTATTGTTCACACTTCTTTAACACTTGCTAATCTCCTTTGAAACAGAGCAGTGGGCAGGCCCACTTTGTTTATTTGAAATAAACAAAGAGCACCCAAATGAGAACCGAGGGCACACAATAGTATCTAGCTGGCATATAACAACAGCATTTCATTTTTATTGAGTGGGAGATACAGATCATTGCTGGGATCTGTCAACGCAGCAACACTCAAGGCCTTGTGCTGCTACAGCTTCAAACGCCCGTTTTACAGGTGAAAAAAGAGCCCCACCAACCTGCGCAGCATCACAGAGCAAGTAGATGGAGAACCCCACCTACGGCACTCCTTTCTTCTCTCCCGCTCTCCTCTGGACTTTCTTCTTCCTGTGTCCTCTACGCTGTCTAGTGGAGCTCAATCAGCTACCTGCAGAGTTTTCAACCCCTTGTCTACCACCTCACCCACTACCGTGAGAACCCTGGTAGATACAAGCCCAAGGAGCACCCACCTAGGATTCGAGTAGGCGCCCGGGAGATGGGTGCAGCCATCTCTAATATAGGTGGGGGTCCTGGTGGGTTAAACAGTGGGCAGGCCCATTCCCCAGCCATCAGATGATGCTGCAGGGCAATTTCCATCATCCACTCAGCCGACCTCCCTCATGATGCTGTACCACACCCAGAGGGAGTCCTGGCCAATTCTGGCAGCATTTACATCCCATGTGTATCACACAGGGATTGCGCTGGAAGCCCTGTCTGAACCAGGCCTTGCACACCTTCCCAGCCCCTTCTCATGTCACATCACACGCTCCAACCATCGTGGCCACCTTTCTGCTCTACAAACGTTCTGACCCCTTCCCTGCTCCATGCCTCTGCCTGGAATGAGCATTCCCTAGCTATGCACAGGGCCGGCTCCTCCTTCATCTCCAGATCTCGGCTCACAACGGCCTTCTCCGACCCCCCTCCCCCGCCCCTGCAGAAGTGACCTCCCCGTCTCCATCCTACTCACTGTCTATCACATTTCCCTGCTCCATGTCCTTCCTGCAACTGTTCCTTTCTGAAACTATATACACTGATTTCATCTCTTCTCTACTCTCTACCTATTCACACTAGAATGTAAGGTCCAAGAAGGCAAGAACGTTTCTATCTTGTTCACACTGTAGACCTAGGACCAATGACAGCACCTGGTTCATAGAAGGGGTCAGAAACACCCACTGGGGGAAGAAGAAATGCCAGACTCCAGGAGAGGTGATCAAGGCCAAATGGGCTAAGAGCCTCAGGTCAGTTTTCTCTGCCTTCTGGCTCCCAGAAAGCATCCCCAATCTTAAACGCTTGCTGTGAAGGACTTCAGCTCCACCACCAAGGCCACCACCCAAATCCTGAGCTTGGCGCTGTGTAAGTGATCCAGGTGTCACGACATATAAGCAAGAGGGCGTGGTCCTTTTCGTGGCCAGACTCCTGTGATGGTGAGGAAATTCTATGTTTAAAACTCTAACCTGGTGCTCCTGCTTCTGGCCTCTGGACTAGACAGGAGAAACCCATTCCCTCCTCCATGAGCCAACAAATGTTTGTTGAGGACCCACCAGACTGACAGCAAGGCAGAACTCATAGCAAGATACAGAAAATGCAAGTGTGGAAATAAACAAAGAGCACCCAAATGAGAACAGAGGCCATTTATTCCGAGTTTGCTTCCAGCAAGGGAGTCAGCCACCTTCACCTGTGTTTGGTAGAGAGACTCAAAGGCAGGGGATCAGGAAAGCTTTGTGGTGAAAAAGGAGAAAGCTTCAGGTGTGCCCAGAAGGGCGGTGCTGGCATGAGGAAGCTGGAGGTGGGCTAACTAGAAGGCAGGCATCTCATGTGATTGGTTTTGAGGGCATATTTGGCCTTCTCTGGTGGGTCCTGAGCCGGATGTGGGATAAAACATAGGAAAACTGAAGTCATTGGCCAAGTCCAGACCCTTCTGGGCCAGTTGCTACAGTTGTGGTTTGGTTTTGTGGACTGGTTGCCACGGGCGTCATGGGTCGGAGTTCTGTTGTCCTGTATGGTCTGGCCACTGCATATTTGGTTTCGCACAAGGCAGGGTGTGGTGAGTGACCCTTGAATTATCTCGCTGCATATTGGGGATGAGGTGAAGGATGAGAATGGGTATTTCCAGAGCAACTGGCCCAGGACACAGGCCTCCTCATTCCTCAGTTCCCTCAGCAAGGTGAGTTCTTGAACAGACCGCGTTCAGGGACGACCCATCGGAGTTGGCAGCCCTTGGGCATCTGTGAGGAGGGGGAGCCTAGGGCGTCCTCAGCCTTGCCCTCTCTTTCCCCACTTTTCTGTTTGACTCTGGCTCTGTCTCGCAGAGGCTGCAGAGAGATGAGACCAAACCCTCGGCTTGGGAGGACTCGGAAGACTGGCTTTCCAGGCACAGTTTACAGTTTGAGAGGCTCACCCTGGCTGACCTGCTTAGCCAAGGCACCGCCGTGCTGTGAGTCTGGCACCATTCCCTTCACCCCCAAGCCTGCAAGCCTGGCAACACCCCACTCCCCGGCCCCAGAGACCCCTTCTTAAGACTTTGCTTCTTCAGGGAGGAGGGCAGCAATATCATGAGGAAAGTGTACTTCTCCACCCAGATCATCCACCAATTTGAATCCAAGCTTTCTGAGTAAGTACAAGAGCTCAAGAATTTCTTCATTTCAGCAGCCTGAAAGTAACTTTGTTCAGGGGCGCGTGGGGGGCTCAGTTCGTAAGCATACTCTTGATTTCGGTTCTAGTCGTGATCTCAGGGTCATGAGATCGAGCCCCACGTCAGCTCCGTGCTCGGTGTGGAGTCTGCTTGAGATTCTCTCTCTCTCTCCTCCCTCTGCCCCTCCCCCCCACTCACACTCTCTCACTCTCTAAAATAAATAAATAAAT